GTTCCAGAGAAGCCTTCAACTCTGCAAGTTGTGCGTGGTTACTCTTGCTCTTGGAAGTGAACACGCGCACTACATAAAGCTTCTGCGTGGTTACGCTTGTGAAGAAAAGTGACAACGCACAGAATTGGGGTTTCTATATATACATGATTGAAGCGCGAAAACTGGGATCTTTTGCTCATTTTCTGTTTTGTTAGTTAGATTCTCGTTGAGAGAGAGTGGAGAGAAGATTGGGGTCGAAGCTTGAAGCTCCAAGAAGAGGGATTGGATTGGAGCTCGTGGCCATGGCTGCTCTGCATTCTTCTTCATCTTCTTCTTCTTCTTTCTCTGTTTTTGTTGCAATGTGTGCTTAATTTCCCATAGTTAGGGGTTTATGGAACTCGAATTGATGTGTTGATTCGACTTTATCTTCTGAACTTTAAGTTCTTGGATTCATTGAGTTGTTAATTCTACTTTTCATGCAATCTTTGAATGGAAATTCATTTGATTAATCAAGAGGAATCTTTACCAATGGGAATTGGATTGTTTGCTCCGATCTGAATTAGCAACCAGAGTTTAGGGATTCTTAGGGATAAGGAGACCTAATTCTGCAATCTTATAGTTCTAATTCTTAATGCAACTTGAAATTGAATCTCACCTACGGGATTAGGGAGGTTTAGTGGATTGTTAGGGTCAATGAGTTAAGGAATTAACCTTTGGCTATTACTATGCAAAACTGATTGTCAATTAACCAAGTTCTTGAATGTTCAGAGGCATAATTGAATTAATACTAATATTCTTGTGAAGTAAATTCCTAACTATTCTTCATTCCTATCTCATTTCATTACATACTCTATTTTTCTGCAAGTTCTTTACTTTAATTGCTTTTGTTTACTGTTGTTATATGTTACAAATCTCATTCCAAAATTCATATGGCTCAAATGGTTATAATTCTGTGAAGTGGTACTTGAAACCTAAATTCCCTGTGGAGACGATATTCTAATCTTAAATTTACTCATCACTTGCTGCAATCCTAGTGCACTTGCTAGTGTTAGATTGCAAACAACAGTACCACAATCATTCCTCTTTTTTTGGTACCACTTGTACAGGACTAACCCAACTGTTGTCTGAAATGGGATATATAATTCCAGCATCTAATAGTTTCATAACCTCCTTTCTTACTACCTCCTTCATGGAAGGGTTCAGTCTTCTTTGAGGCTATACAATATGTTTAAAATTCTCTTCAAACAAAATTCTATGTTTACGAAAAGCTAGATTGATACCTTTTAAGTCTGATATACTCCATCCTATTGCTGACTTGTGTACTCTCAAAATCCTCAATAACTTTTCTTCCTCTTCTTCCTTGAGTTCATTACTAATAATGACTGAATTTTCATGATTTTGGTCCAAAAATTCATATCTCAAGTGAGAAGGTAGCTGTTTGAGTTTCAACTTCTGAATGTGTTCTTTTTCCACTTCATTTTTCAGCTTTTCTTTGACTGATTTTTTTGTAAGAGCCAGAACTAGCAGAGTTTCCAATTGCTGCATAATTTCCATGAGATGTTCTTCTTTGTTCATAACAGATTAGGAACTACCTGTAGCTATGGTTTCTCTTAACATAGAAATTTCATCAAATTTATCAAAATGATAAGAAGTAACAAGAGAATCCAGTACATCAACTCTTATACACATGTTATCATCACTTGGATATTTGAGTGCTTCAAAAACATTAAATATTACCTTTTTATCTTGCACTCTAAGTATGAGCTCTCCTTTTTACACATCTGATGAATCCATATTTTAACTGATATTTTAGCATAATTCTAACACATTTGATAAGAAAAATACATAAAGAAAGTAGAAAAACTTAGAAAAATAAAAGGAATTGAAGTTTGTTTAAATTTGTAGTTATTTTAGTAATTGTGAAATTTTTGCTTAGGAATTAAGTTTTTAATCTTGTTTTTGAAGGAATAAATTGAGCAAGGATCATATTCATGGAAGTTTGATGACAAGGAAGAGGAAAGAAGCAAGTCTGGACTCCAAAAACACAAGAATAAGAAATTGCAGACTGGGCGTGATCACTATTGTCAGTGAAAGTGATCACTTCAGAGCTCAAAGAAGAAGTGAAGCCTGGGCTTTACCACTTTTATCATTAAAAGTGATAGTTCCAGAGAGGCAAAATATCAGGGAAGCTCTGCGTAACCACTATTGTCATCAAAAGTGATCGTTCCAGATAGTCTTCAACTTGGCGAGCTGCGCGTAGTCACTTTTATCAGCAATAGTGACAACGCGCAACTACCTTGGCTCTGCGTTGTTACTTTTATCATCAAGAGTGATAGTTCCAGAGAGCTCTCAATATCAGGAAAATGCGCGTGGCCACTATTTCTGGGAAAAGTGTTAACGCGCAACCAAAAACTCTCTGCGTAACTACTATTTCTCATAAAAGTGATGACGTGAAAATCTGAGAAATTTTATAAATACCAGAAACGATCCGAAAATGGGGGATTCTGTTCATTTTCAGTTTTTTTTAGTTAGTTTCTGGTTAGAGGAAGTGAGAGAGAGGAGTGGGGATTCAGATCTTGGAGCTTCACGAAGAGGAATTGGAGTGGAGCAAGCTTCCATGGCGTTTCTGAGTTTCTTCTTTTCTTCTTCTCTTTCTTTTTCTTCTTCTGTTGCCATGGCTGTGTAATTCGTTCATAGTTAGGGATTGTAGATCTGAAATGAACATGTTGAATTGATTTGGATCTGAATTTCAAGCTTTGGAATAGATTGAGTGATTGATTCTGAACTTCACGTGGAAATTGAATGGAAATTTGATTAACTAAATTCAGAGGAACCTTTGTCAATGGAAATTGAATCTGTTCTTCAGATCTGAACCAATCACCGAGATTTTAGTTTTCTTAGGGATAAGGAACTTTGATCTTGCAATCTTTTGGTTTCTTACACTTAAAGCAACATTGAATTGAATCAGATATAAGGAATTAGAATGGTTTAATTGAATGTTAGGTTCACTGAGTTAAGGAATTAACCTCTAAATAGTATAATGTGAAACTGATTGTCATTCTTTCCAATTGCTTGTTAATTCAGAACTTTATTGATTAAACATTGGAGTTTTGGTGAAGCAATTCCCTAGCTATGGTTTCTTCTTCTGTTATCACATAATTGTGTGTTCATTATTCTGTTTTCTGCAAGTTCACTTTACTTCTAATTGTTCTAGTTTTCTGTTACTACATGGTACCACTCTCCTTACAAATTCGAAAAAGCTTAAATGGTTATAATTCTATGAAGTGATACTTGAATCTAAATTCCTTGTGGAGACGATATTTGGATCTTAAATTTACTCATCACTTGCTGCAATCCTAGTGCACTTGCTAGTGTTAGATTGCGAACAACAACATCAATAAGAGCTCTTCTAGTTGCAAGAAATGGTCTGCCCAAAATTAATGGTATGTTTGCATCAACTTCCATGTCTAAAATGACAAAATCTATAGGAAAAATAAATTTATCAACCTTAACCAATAAGTCTTCTACAACTCCATGTAGATATGTATAAGATCTATCAGCTAATTGTAGTGTAATGTTGATTGGTTTCACTTCTTCTACTCCCAACTTCTTCATGATAACTAAGGGCATGAGATTAACGCTTGCTCCTAGATCACATAAGACTTTTCCCATAGTGCATTTTCCAATTTCACTAGGGATGCTGAAAGATCCTAGATCCTTGAGTTTTTGAGGAAGTTTTCTTTTAAGAATAGCACTGCATTTTTCTGTTAATGGTACTGTCTTGTCATGTTCCAACTTTCTTTTCTTAGATAGTAGCTCCTTCATGAACTTGGCATAAGATGACATTTGTTCTAATGCTTTTGCAAAAGGAATATTAATCTGCAGCTTCTTGAATACATTCAAAAATCTCTCAAATTACTTCCCTTATTTAGGATTTTGCACTCTTTGAGGATAAGGTAACCTTTTGTATTTTTCTGGGTCAATTGGTTTACAAGCTTCCTCAAAAAGTTGTTTCTTTGTTTTTCTCTCAGAATTAATAGAAGCTTCATTTTCTGAATGTTCTCTTTTTAACAAATTAAAATTCCCTTGCTGCAAATCTTTCTCTATTCTTCCTTTTTCTGCTGAATTGCTAACTAACTCCTTTTTCTGTAGGCTTTGGACTAGCTACCACAGCTCCACTTCTTATTGTTATAGCTTGGCACTGCTCTTTAGAATTTATTACTGTGTTACTGGGGAACCTCCCCTCATCTCTATTTGCTAGCTATTCAGCCAACTGCCTAATCTAAGTTTCTAGTTTCTTCATAGAAGCTTCTTGATTTTTAAGGCTGGTTTGGGTGACCTTCATAAACTGCAACATAGTTTCTTCCATCTCACTCATTCTCTTATTCATAGGTTTTGAAGAATTCTGAGTTCTTTGAGGTTGAGCAGAAGAATTGCCTTAAAATATTGATGTTGTTGCGAAGTTCCTGCATTCGAAAATGGAATAGATGAGTTAGTATTTTTCACGGCAGAATTTTGAGGATTTCACTTGTAAAATTTGATTTCTGTTGGTTAGATATTGGAAACCAGGGGGAAAGGATTGTTGAGTAAAAGATTGCTGCTGCCTTTGATAATTTTCCATATAGTTGACCTGTTCTTGTGGATCTGGTTTAGGTACATCACAAGCACCATTAGCATAGTTGTCTCCACAAAAATCATAGATTAGCTGAGTGTTTACAACATTTCCAGCTATTAAGCTGCTGATCTGCTGAGTTAAGGCTGCAATTTGCTCAAAAAATAATTGATTTTACAACTGATTTTGTGCAAGAAAAGTCTCTATAGTTTTAGCTTTATATCCACTATTTCTCCCTGCATGTCTTGAGTTTGAATTCTAATACATAGAGGAAGCCATCATCTTAATAATTCTTTGAGCTTCTTCTAAGAATTTCGTATTCAAAGAGCCTTCTGCAGCTGCATCCAACATGGTTCTAGTTACTGCATTTATCCCATTGTAGAAGGTTTCCAGCTGCATCCACTCTGGAATACAGTGGTGTGAACATCTTCTCAACAAGTTTTTGTATCTCTCCCAAGCTTCATAAAGTGATTCTCCTTCTGCTGCACGAAAGATGTGATTTCTCCTCTCAGCTTGGCAGCCTTTGATGGAGGAAAATACTTAGTTAAGAATTTATTCACAAGATCTGTCCATATGGTGATACTCCCTTGGGGTTGTGCTTGTAACCAACAGTTGGCCTTATATCTCAAAGAGAATGAAAATAGCCTTAGTCTTATAGCATCTTCACTTACTCCATTCATCCTTATAATGTCACATAGCTGCAAAAAAATTGGAGATATGCAAGTTAGGATCATCAGAAATTCCACCAGAAAATTGGTTCATTGTACTAAGTGGAGCAAGGCTGGTTTGATTTCAAAATGATTAGCTTGGATGGTATGTCTAACTATTGAAGAATTATAACCTTGCATATTTGGTATTGCATAATCTTCTACTGTTGTCATTCTATTTTGTTCTGCCATTTCAATTTCTGGAGATGTTTGTTCTAGAGGTGAAGGTGTTTTCTGTGAAAGAGAAGTATACTGAATTTCTGGAGAATGTATAGTTTCTAAATCAGTCACCTCCTAAAGAACTTTTTGCTCTAGCCTCTTTTCTTAATCTTTCTTAAGGTTTTATCTATATCAGGATAAAAAACAAGAGTACCTTTATTTTTATTTTTACCATGCATATACAGTCAAGATGAGATAAAAGTAGGAAGAATTAAAAATTGCATTATTTGTACACAATTACAAAAGTAAACACAAAAACATAACTGCACTATTTTAATTATGCAAGCATAGTAACTACCTAAGAGAATACAAAAATCTATCAGAAATTAAAACTATGAAAGTACAGACTTAAACATTAATTTGAATGTAAAACAGAAAAATTTCAAATGTAATTCTGATATTGCAAAAAAAAAAAAAAATAGTTGCTAAATCTAGTTATCTTCTTATTACTAATGATATTAAAAACAATTATTCTCCGGCAACAGCGCCAAAAACTTGTTACTTTCTCAACAATTGCACTAAAAGTGAAATTGACTAGCAAGTGTACTAGTATAGTTGTAGCAAGTTATAAAATCTTGGAATCAAGTTTGAGTCCCAAATATTGTCCTGAGGGAATAGTTTTCTCAAGTATTACTTTACAATTCAACAATTAGTTGAACCTAACACAATTCAATTGGAGTTTGTAATATTTGAAAACAAATTAACAAGTATAGAGTTCAAAAAACGTAACAGAATAAAAGCTGCGAAATTTGATATTGAAGCAAATTTGTTTTGTTCTAATTCTCTATACAATCTTTGGCTTTGAACAAAAAGATTATTGTGTTTTTTTTTCTTTTTTTTCAATATTTTGCTACCTCTGTTGTCTGGTTCGATAACATAGTTTATGCAATACTTATTGTTTTTTTTAGGTTCTTCAAAATGATATTGATTTGATGAATCCTCCAGCGAAGTTGGAGAAGAGAAAGCACAAGCTCGCTTGTCTTGTTCATTCCCCAAATCCCTTCTTCATGGTATTCAATGCCTTTTTCTTTTATACTGTTATTATTATTTCTTGATTTGAAATGTAAAATTGCTTTGCTGCATAATTTTTCAATCAATGTGAAGTTTTGATTATTTGTTGCAGGATGTTAAATGTCAGGGTTGTTTCAACATGGGATATTTCTTTTATTCCACTTATTGTGATGATATTTAAATAACTTAAACGTGAATTTAATTATGTTATATTTTTAACTTGAATGCAGAACCTCTGTGTTTAGCCAATCTTAGACAGTTGTGGTATGCGGTAATAGACTGTATTGTGCCAACCAGTGGTGGACAGACAAAGTTAACCGAAGGTTGCTCGTCTAGAAAGAAAGAAGACTGAATGGTGCCATGACTTCTCTTTAAAATTATATTTTTTAAAATGATATAATTGTATAATTTTAAAAAATAATTTTTACATATGCATGCCATGATTATTATCTTACAAAGAGACTGAATACTTTTTTAGACAAGAAGCACGAAGCGGCGTGGGCCGTGGTATAGAGATAGAAAAATCGGAGAATAGAGACTGAATACTTTAAAATTCTTGTTCACTTGATATGATGAGTTGTAACACAATGTGATGATAAACCTAAAGTGTTAACCCTTATCTGTGCTAGTAATCCTAACTAGATTAGGTAACAAATCATAATTCATTGGAAAAATGGAAACTAAGAAATAGGGAAACCAATCAGAAGAAATAATTTCTCAGATAATCTAAAATAGTCTTGGATAGGAAATTGATTTTATGTGATATTCCAACAGTCAGTGTGAACTGCCTGAGGCATCTTTTTGCTACCAAGGTTGCTATAATTTCATCAAAAGGTCCTTGACACATTATTCTATTCCCATGCATAGTTTATAAACATAGGATTTTATGCTGGCCTCGAATGAACGTGTGGATGTCATTCATTTTTATGTTTTGGTCGTTGAATCATTGGTGGGGTTCACACAGTTAAAACTTAAAACATGAAAATGCTTAGCCCTGTTTGTGCATTCTGTCATGCTCTTCTCTTGCCCTCATTGAAGCTGTTATGGGAAAGTTGGCATTCTGCACTTGTGCCTGCAAATTACTTCCTGGATGTTTTTTGCTGTATTCTTGAAGTGAATTAATATCACGATGAGCTTTTCAATTCTGAAACTTTTATTCTGTTAATCTTGCTGTATGGATTAGAGCTGATGCTGCTTGTATTTGCAAAATTTTAATGGTTTTAATTCCTTCTTCATTTTATAATTCTTTTAGGTACTGTTGCCTGCTCCTGCAACTTTTGTAAGTATTCATGTCCAATTCCTTTCTCATCTTTCTCAGTATTGATGGCATTGATGGTCCTTGGCTACCAGTTTCTAATGTGGTCATTCCTATTTCGTAGTTCTTGCTTGTTTTGAAATTCAAATATCAAGTTTACAATTGCATTAAAGTTTCCTGCTGTGTTTCTGATGTTGAATGTAGGTGTTGGTTAGGACAACATTTTCATTATAGGGTTCTTGGCCATTGTTGTTTCTTCTTATTTATAAGCATGGTGTTTCAAAATAAAATAGAAATAATAGGACTCAGTTCATATTGTCTGAATCTGTTTTATATTTTCTGTTCAATTTGCTCCATTCCATTTCCCATGTCAAGTGGGTTTTTTATTTAGCATTCTGAAAGAAATTTTCATTTATATTTTGGGTACACTTCTCTCTCTTTTATTTTTTTCTTAGAAAGTCTTATGTTGTATACTTGGTTCATACGTTGTCTATGTCTTTTGATTGAATGACTTTTTTCTAGCAAAACCCAATTGTGTTTGTTGTTCGGTTTTACATTAACTAGTTTATGCTTTTTCTTCCTTGCACAGTGTAAGTGCACTGTAGGGCCGTAAGCAAATTATTTTATATTCATATAATTTTTATAAAATTAATGATTTTTTGTTATTATTAAGTAGTGTCTGCATCCAAAATCGTGTCACTTTTCTCAACAGAATATGCCTTCAAAACACAATGAATCAAAAGTGGATGAAGAGGATGATAATTCAGTGGTACAACTTCCGGGAATTCCACTAGCACCTCGTGACCAAAGTTAAAAAAATGGAGTGTATTTCATTCTTGAGAAAGCTTCACTGGTTGCTGCATATGTTGGCAAAGTTAGTTTTCTTTCCTAACTAGGCCATGCCCCTCTCTATTAGTCAGATTCATGTTCTGATGAATTTTTCACTGAAAAGAATAAAAATTTGTATTTTATAAATGTCAATAGCATTTTTGAGTGTTTATATTGGTAAGCGTTTTTGCATTTAAAAATAAGAAATACAGTATTTAAAATCAACATCAGCTTCAAAACAATAGTTTTTGAAAAAAAAAAAAATGCTTCTATATTCAGATTGTGTTTGAATAGAGAAACATTGAGTGAAATATATATATATATATATATATATATATAGATTTTCGAATTCTAATTTTAGCTTGATAATGTGCTTTTAAAAGTCATGAGAAGCTTGTCCATTGATTAGAAAACAAAAATTTAACATCTTTTCAAACTCTACCTTTAAGTAGTTTTTCTTCCTAATCATTGCAATTACATGGCTTATTTCAGAAATACCAGATTTTGAATCCAGATGAGCATGCCAGTTTTTTGCGGAGGAAAAATTTGAATCCTTATGATTATAGGCCTGATATTGTTGACTGAGGTTAGCTACTGTTTTCATTTCTTGATGCTGAGCTGGTGTCTTCATTTTATGTTTTCAGTATTTTATTCTTGAATTGCCCAAAGGCAGCAATGTGGAGACAAGGGCTATAGACTCCTTGTGACTTATGACTTATGAGTAACATGAAATTGGTAGAATGGTAATTTTTGCACAATAGTTGGATGTGAAATAATTCCTACTATGAATTTTCTGGTCTTGTATTCTGTATGAGTCTAATTACAACCTGGCTGTTGGTTGGTTCTCTAACTAATTTTATTTTGTATTCTATTCCATTGTAGTTTTTCCTTGAATAAGTATTGTATACCACCTCTCAGGGTTTGAAAGTTTTTATCTTGTTTTTCTTGATTAAGTTGACTCTAAATGTTAATGACTATAGGCTTTCCTTCAAATTATGAGTAGTCGGCTTCGCATGACTGGTAGATTACGCGCTGTATTCATCAGGACTGATGAAGGAATTCTTATCAGAGTCGAACCTCAAACTCAAATACCAAAAACACTAGGAAGCTTTTGTAATATGATGGGTAAGTTTTTCTATTCATAATTATATTACTGTATTTGTTAAGACAGCAGTTGAGAATATGGACTCAAATGGTCAGTTGGTCTGTCAATTGGCCAAGCCCAGGAGAGTTTACACTAGCAGAAATAAGAAATGTATAAGAGTTTGTTAGCTGAGTGAGGAGGAGTCTGTGAGAGAGGGGGTATCTTTTCAAAATTGAGAAGTTGGTTATGGATGAAAAGGATTAGCTCTCTGTAGAGCGTAGCTCTTTGCCAGTAGTACTCATTCTATTGATTTTCCTTTTCATATCAAATAATACCAATTTCATCTATTTTCCTTGTTTGAATTGCTTTATTTTCCTGTTGGTTTAACCAGTTTGCATCAATATTACTACATAATCCATCCATATTCCTGATTCTTGTCATCATATTAACATCTTTGTCTATCCCTGTTTTGAAATATTCAATAATTATTACAGCGGAGTTGCTGCAAAAGTTCAGTATCAAGTCAAAGAATGGTCAAGGAAAGCTTTTAAGGTTAATTGAAAACCCTGTGACTAATCACTTTCCTGTCAACTCTCATAAAATAGGTGAGCACTAAAATTAGGCAAATGTTAAAATGCCAATGTTTTTTATGCAGAGATTTTTATGCGTTGCACTTGTAATGTTGTAGGTCTTTCTCTCAGTTCACCTAAGGCAGATCATTTAAGGGACTATGCTAGTGCCGTTAACTGTGATGAAAACCTTGTATTTGTGGTAAGCTTTTGTGAGCCATCATGTGCATTTTTAAGATGAGGCTTATTCTGTTATTTCACTAATTGACTTGTCTAACAATTATTTAGGTTGGTGCAATGGCTCATGGAAAAATTGATGTTGACTACATTGATAATCTTATATCAGGTTATTCTTAAATAATTCTGTATTTATTTTAGATTCAAGTTTTAACTTGTGGCTGCTTTGTCATATTTTATAAGACAGAATAAATGATGTGTATTGTTAATAGTGATTGGTGTGTGTTTTCTATATTATCCATCAATCTGATTAGTGAATGTATTGTTGTTTCACTGTTTATCAATTCAAATAAGATTTGGATAGGAAAATTCAAATTTCTGAATAGATGCATCATCTGTAGTTTCATGGTGAAATTCTTATAATTTCATGCTTGGGATGGGAACAACTTCCATAATCACATGTTAATAACAGATCTATTGTGATTATGTACACAGAACATAAAGTGAATTTTTTTTTTCTTTTTAAATTAGTTGCATGTTCATAGGACTTAGTCCTTATGATCATGGTAGTTAAAATTGCAAGCTGACACATAATTGCATGATTCTATGATCCTAGTCCCTCAACCTGTGGGCTTGCTTGCAAGTAGAATTGGAAATTACTAGCATTTTGGTTTCCATCAATAATACTTTATTGATTTATATATTTAAAACTGAGCATACTTTTTATTTTAAGATGGGGAATACATGTTGATTCTTGATTTTTGGAGGGTATATAGTTGGTTGCATCACATTCTTCTGTTTCTCTACTTTTGTGATTAAAGTGTTTTCAGCTAAGTTTTATTGATATTTCTTTGTGCTTATGCTAATATTATCATTCTTGTTTATCTCCTAGTTAAAGTATTATTATTTGATTTCTAAAGTTCTTTGTTTTGTGTTGTATAGTTTCAGCTTATTCGTTGAGTGCTGGGACTTGTCTTAGGCAGATCTGCATTGCGTTAGAGAGAAATTGAAAGATCCAATGAATCTGAAGTTTTTATTTTCTATTAATGAGTATATATAAGGCAAAAGGGTTTTCCTTTATTGGCATCTATTTTCATTCTAAAATATTTGACGATGATCTTTATTTAAAATTGAAAATAACCCCATCTTTCCCCATTTCTCTACAAATCTCTCCATCTAAACATACTCTTGTGGGCGGATGAGTGGTATTCTTGTCGATGCATATTCTCTCTAGTTTGATAAACAAAGTTTTCTATCTAAAATCAATGTATAATTAGAAAGTTAAAAAGTGATATCAAAATAAGATTTATATAAGGTTTTAGTTTCTTAAAAATTTGTTAATTTTTTATTTGGTCCTCCTTTTTATTTTTCATCCAGTTCTTCTATTAGTAGACGGAAATTCCGAAATCTGTGACAAGATTCATAAGATAGATTTAACTCCCTCTTGCATAAAGGAGCATTGGTCCACACAATGTAAGGTTGGTCTGAACAGTTTTTCATAAAAGAAATAACTCATTCAATCGAGATCACTAACTAATACGAATATAGTACTAATAGAATAGAAATATTACTATATTTTCTGTATATTTTCCTTGGTTCCATTGCTACTGCTTGCTTTATGCAATTGATTAGATTATATAGATAACTTTTTAAAATAGCATAGGTCATCGAAAGGATTTCAAAGTTCTACCAATGCATGCATGAAAGTTGAGATTTTTCAGAAAAAGGAATTTTTTTTCAAAGGATGCATAATTGTAATTGTATAGATAATAAGTTCACCCTAACGTATTGTTTGGGATCCGATTTGAGATTTTCTTTGGAGGGTTTTGAGAAGGAATTAGAATGGAATAATATTGATTATAAAAATATAGAAGAAAGGGTGGTTCTTTGGTGATTCATTTCAGAGAGTACTTTAAAAAAATCAGTCTATATATTTTTTAACTTTTCGCTTAATGATTTTTAAATGATCAAACATGTGGAACTTTAGGAACGATGAAAATAAATAAATAAATGAAAGTGTAGTAGAAGAGTCTACATTCTAAACAAACAAATTTAAATTTAATTCATTTTTATTATATAAGATTGTGATTGAATTTACATATGTTTGGTAAAAAGAATAATCTTCTTTTTTATGAATTATAAAAAAGAAAAGTATTCAATTGGAACATGAAAATATGACGGAATGAATCTTAATTACTTTTCAGAATAAGATGTATAAAATGAAAATTTTACTTTCAGTTCTATAGTAATAGCAAGGGTGATTTATTTGTCATTTTTTTACTATTACATCCTAAAATCAAACTTTGCCTAAAGTAAAGTTTTTAAAGTGCGCTTAATCTTTGAATTTGAAATTAATACTTGGTATTAGTCATAATTTACAAGATCATTTGGTAGTCTTTGTAAGAGTTATTACCCTAAAATTCAAACTTTGTCTAAAGTAAAGTTTTTAAAGTACGCCTAATCTTTGAATTTGAAATTAATACCTGGTATTGGTCATAATTTACAAGATCATTTGGTAGTCTTTGTAAGAGTTGAAAGGGTAAAAGATTTAACTAGTTTCTTCAAACTCTTATTCATATTTTTCATAGAGAAATAATTAATCAAACATAGAACAAGATCTATTTTGAATCATATTTAAGGGATTCATTGATTAGAATCGAAAAAATAATGTCACTCGATCATTATTAAACTAATTATTATTTTTTTTGTCCACGAGGATCCCACCAAAGTGTCTTTTTACTTCTAATAGGCTATGAATTAGATCATAATTATTCTCAACGGGTAGAGATGAAAGGTTTTAAGCGACCAATCCAACAAAACAACTCAAGATAAAACAATATTGTTAATTTCTTTGTGTTCCTTCTAAACTCAAAGTATCATTTGTACAAATAAAAAATCTGCTCATTACATGATTTCTTCTTCATATAGATATATATAAAGAATGAAACATTGCAAAGAATGATGTAATAAAGAAAAAATAAAAAAGATTTGAAAAATTAAAAAGGTATGAATTTTTTAAACACGTTTATTTCTCAAATATTGCCACATATATCAAATGATATTGATGAACAGATTTTCGTTTGCAAAAAGATTTGTCGTCAATCTTATCAAAATATGCAGAATTTTTATGTAGTATTGTCTCTAATGACTTTGGTTGAAAATATGCACTAAACATGTTATAGACATTCAACTTGAAATCAATTAAAATAGGGAGTTTTGTGTGATTCTAATTTTAATGTAACAGCAAATGATGAAATTAACGAGTTCAATCAATGAAATGTGCAATCCTTAGTTTGTTCATGTAATTTTATTCCTATTCCTCTCAAGATTCAATACTTTTCCTCTTCTTCTGAATTAGGATAACTTAACAAGCGAGAATTAACATTAAAATCCCATACGAATTTAAGCAAATTCGTATGGACTCCAACTCTTTTCCCCAAAATTACGCAACCGCAGAAATTAACTTAAGATTTAACAAATCAAATTAAGAATTTCATTAAAACAAATTAGGGTTAATTAAGCAATGTCCTCCTCATTCAAACATTAATTTAATTCAAAGAGTTGAGAAATATGAATTCATGAAGAAAAGAGAATTATATTGACATTCATACCCAGAAATTCAAGAATCCATGAACTCACTAAGGATTACAAGAAAATTTAGCCCTCTATGAGGATGGGTCTTACAAATTTAAGATGAAAGCAAAAGGAATTCAATGACATCAATACAAGAATTAAAAGAAAGTGAAGATAAATTGTAAATCAAACCCTAAGATTGGCCTTGGCTGTCACCCAAGGATCCTAAGCTCTGCAAAATGCTCCAAAAGTGGCAAAAGAATATAAAGTTATGAAAAGATCCGTACCCTAATTTCTAAAAATCTATATATACTAAGTCTGACACAACCTCATAATGATCACTCTTGTAAATAAGAGTGATCACGCGTAGCATTCCTTAGGCTTTTCCCCTTTTTGTAGTGATCACTCTTGTGTATAATAGTAGTCACTCTAAGCGCGCGTAGTTACTCTTACTTATGAGAGTGAACACGCGCAGAGTGTCTGGTTTAGGTTTTGCTAGAGTGATCACTTTCACTTATGAAAGTGTTTACGCGCAAGGTTCTACACCCTGGAGTTTTCTGAAGTGATCACTATCACTTCTGAAAGTGATTATGCGCAAGCACTTCATCCTAGAGCTTTCTAGAGTGATCACTATTACTCACGAGAATGATTACGCGCATGCTCTTTAACTATGGAGTGATCCCTGTTGCTTCTGAAAGTGGATACTCTGGCCTATCTCTTAGAATCAACTCCCTGGAGTGATTACTGTGGTACTTGAGAGTGAATACTCTCACTTCATATTTTTTCCAAGAGCAAAAAATTCATGAAATTTGTCTAGAATTTCCTACATAATTATTCAAATGATCAAAATTGTAAAATATATTCACAAAAATTAGTGGGACAAAAATTAAGAAAACTATAATATTTGACCTAAATGAGGTTTTTATGTTATTTACAATCTCTAAGTCTATTTTTCTATTAAAACTCTATGAAAAACCAGACAAAATATCTATAAAGTGTAGATTCATCGTATTTTTAAACACGTTTATCTTTCAAATATTGCCACATATCAAATGATATATAGCTAAGATACAATTGCTTAAATTGATACTATGTCAATTTAAAAGAAATCATGTTCAAATGATCCTTAATAAAATTGAATCTTTCTTCAGTTAATGGCTTTGTCTCTAGTTAAATAATTTGTGCTTTAATTTCCTTGGCATGTGAATGTTGAATAAGACTTTTTAACAAGTTAACAACATTAGTATTATTAGACATAATGAGAATCTCATTTTTGTATATCATAAGATTCTAATTGATATTTTATCCAAAAAAACTGTGAATAACATCCTACTCATAGAGTTATAATGCTTTGTTTTGTGCTTGACTATGATATAAGATTTGTTTTAATGAAATGACATCTTTCATCGGTGCCTTTTCTCTCTATTTTGTCTGTAGTATAATTAGTATCACAGTATTCTAACTTTTGTGAAATACTAGTAACAAATCCTATTATAGTTTTATCACCTGTGTGTCTATGAATTTTTTAATCTTGTTTAGATTATCAATTCCACTAACAAAGATGGAAATATCCTCAGTTAGTTCATTAATTTTCTTTTAAAACTTAATAACTTTTCCATACGATTGATTCTTACTAAAGTTTTTGTCTTCTTTAAGTAGTTCATTTTTATTTTTTTTGCAACTCACAGTTCTCAATCTTTCAATACTTCAACTTTGTCTTCTTTTTGCTTTAAAGTAGAGGGCAAGTCCTCATTCTTTTTCTTTATTTGACAATATTTAAAATAACAACATTTCAATATTTTAAAAGAAGTTGATAAGAAAATTGTAATTTAAAATGTTCATTATTTACTAAACTTCTTTTATTTCCTCACAGTTTAAGTCAGAAAGTTATTATCAAGTCTGTCATTTTGAGAAAATTCTTATTTATAAGAATAAGAATAAACTAGATATGGCAATAGGAAAGGTATGGGTAAGATACTTTAGTACTCATCCCTATACTTGCGTTTTAAAAAAATACTCGTACCTAATCCCATATCTGCATGAGTAGTAATTTTAATTGTCATATTCATATCTTCTAGTACCCGGATACCCTTATTTGCCCTTATTACCCAGACTTGTCTAAGAAAAAAAAATACTTATAAAAAATATGCTTATATAATTTTACATAAATAATATAATAATACAAAAATTTAATACATAAATTCCAAACAAAGTTCAATCATAGAAAAAAAAACAAATATTCAAAGATCACAAGTACTAAGTGTATTCTAATACATCAACTTGTTAAACTAAAGTACTTAAAAATCATAAGCAAAATTTCACACATAATCTTCAAAATTATCTAAAACAACTAACTTATAAACTCGAGAGTCATGTTATAACATCATACTTTTTCAATTCTGAAAAATAAACAATAATTTATAATAACTCAACTTAA